TTCTCTTTAATTCTGTAGACAGACATAATCTCTTGTTTAGTTACATTGTTGAAGTCCTGTAACAGCTGTTTCGAGAGTTCCAACTAACTTGTCAATCGGAATTTTCTCGTTTTCAGCAACTTCTCTGTCACTTTCTTCACTATCGGTAGCAGTATTTTCTGGATCTAGAACCATACTAGAGATTTTGCCATTCATTAATTGATTGATGATTGAGAAGCATTGTCATCACATTGAAAAACTTCTTTTATATCATCTTCATTTATTACCGCTTCTCCACATTTCTTTACAAATTAGCAGCTATCATCAAATTTAGCTATCCTTCACTATACATATTTGGCTATGCATCATGAACTTGGCGACTAACGATAAGTTGTTCCGTTAAATTTTATCATGCTTCTATCGCGCACTGAGGCAATTAAGCCTGAATTGTATTATCATGTCGCGAATTTTAATTATTAATATGTGTTTTAAGTTTCTTTATTCTAGTTTTTTTTATTTGTATTCATGTATATTTTAATCTGGAAAAAAGTATTCTTAGGTTGTTAAGGCTTTATTTAACTCGTTATTCTTGAGTAGAAAGTGTAGCAAAGGCGAGAGACGGTTGCGAGGAAACACATCTGGTTTATTTGTTTATGGCCTTTTTACTAACAATGGGGGCAGTAGGGTGTTGTGTTGTCACCTTTTACTAATGGCGTTTGTAACGAAAATTGTCTTCCTTTCGGTTTGTTATAGTTTCTATTTTATTTACTTCAAGACAGGGGGTTGTACTAAGCTTAGGTAAATGGATTCTCGTAAAGCTTAGTTTCCGCTTGTTGGAGGGTCCACTTTAGTTCACACGTTTTGCCGAGTACAGATGTTGGCTCATTGTGAGATTTTTCTTGTTTTTGATTCGTCATGGAGATGTAATTTTCTCAGTTTAGATAAAGTAAAATTCTAGCATTAGTAAGATTTAATTTGATGATGTTTTGTAGGCCAATGAAATTTTCGGAGACGGAGAGGAGAGTTTACTTCGGTGCTTGCACCAGGCTAGAGTTCATTCTGATTCTGATTTTCAAGCTAAGAGAAAGAAAAAGGAGAAAAGAGGGGGGGCTTCACCCCTTGTGGGTCTTGGTCTCGCGAGCGCCGGCTATTCAGTCGGATTTGGAGACAGATTGGAGTTGCGAAGATGTAAAGCAGTAAAAGACAAAGTTCGGTGAGGCTTGACCTCCTGCAGGGGGCTTGCGCCTGCGGTCTGAGATGAGGTTTCTCGCTGCTTTCCGCTGATGAGTATTTGTTCGAACGGAGAAAGCGCTCTACGCAAAATTTAATTTCCCCGTTTCATCATGTATTTTGAGATCTTTGAATAGTCATGTTAGAAGCTTTCAAGTTAGAACTGTTCGTCATAGACAGAAGAGATTTGTTACAGCTAATAATAATATAATATAAGAATTGTGCCGAAAGTGCTCTACGCAAAATTTGGTTTCGCCGCTTCATCGTGTATTTTGGAGAACTTGAATAGTCATATTTGAGATATTCCAGTTGAAGGAATTTGTCATGAGATACAGATTTGTTCCAGAAGGAGGTATCATGCTCCCCTTGTTCCTGAAATCAATGGACGCTTTCGAAAGTGTTTTGACAGGAAAAAAGAATGGTCTTTGCTCATTTCCCAGTGGATTGGATTGGATACTAAAAATCTTTCTGTTCGAAAAATTGTTTCCCACCTAATGGACAGATAACGCGATTCCTGGCTAATTGAAGAATTTGCCTTTAATATACTACACCTGTGATTCCTGAAATCAATGGAGACTTCTGAAAGGGTTTTTGAAAAAAAAAAAAAAAATTTGTCTTTGCTCATTTCCCAGTGGACTAGACACTAAAGATCCTTCAATTCGGAAAAACTGTCTTCCATCTGTGAGTGCTATTTTTAAAGATTATTTTCTCTCTTTTCTCTGTCTTCCCAAATACCATGATGGTCTAGTTAATAACAATTTATCCACATAGATAAATGTTTATTACTTATATAAATTAAATATTGCTAGCTGGTAATATTAGGAAGCGATCAGAAATTTTAAAGAAATGACCAGTTAATTTGGAGAATTAAAATATGTCACACCTTCTTAATTTATGAAAAATGTTTACTATTAATTAATTGCTTTAATTATTGTAAACTGAAATTTTGTGTGACAGATGCGATATTTTCATAGTAAAGATATGTGGTAGGGGATACTGATCAGTTACCCAAGTATTTACTAATAATATTATTATATTCAAAAATTTAATAAATGTGTGTTTAAAATTTAATTGCATTTATGTATTTATCTTGCGTGTTAATTTACAGTGGTCTGTCATGTCCCTCCATTTGTTTGAACCGGGAGGCTTTTTAAGAAACATGGAGCTTTAATTGAATTTGGAGTTATTGATTTTTCCTTTGCATAGGTTACTCGCAACGCGAACCTAAAATTTAACTTTGTACTACCACTATAGGATTGATTGTTCGATATGATATATGAATATACATATGATTATATTTTTTAATTAATTTGTCCGGCACCATAATTTGAGTCAAAGTTCAAAGTTATAAAAGATTAAAACACCTAAATTTTCAGATATTCAACAGTATTGTTTAGTTATTTATTATACTTATGTCTATTTCTTGGACATGCTTAAGGCTTATCAGAGTTCTAAATAAATAAAATCCCACATATACTTAAGCTTTATTGAGGGCCGGCGCCAGATATCTTACCACCTGATGCAGTTTCTGTGAGTCCTAAATTCTGTGGTTAGGTGCTGCCATACGAGCCCTGGCGCTGGTTCTAGGTTTATGTGAATAACAAATAATTAATTTTTAATTCAAATAACCCTAAATGTAATCTTTGGATCTATGAGTATCATCAACAAAATCTATTTTTAGCATATGGAAGGAATTTTTGGTAAATGTTTCCTCATCAACATTTTTTAGCGCATTCAACGCAGCAAAGGAGCCAAATTACTAATCATACAAGTTTATGATGAAATGATTGTTTCTTCAGTAACAAGGCATTTTATTTAGTGCTGAAGTGAAATTAAGAATCGGAACTCTCCAGATGTTTCATTATGCACGGAGGGGGGGATGGAATCAAATGCGCATGCATAAAGCCTACGAGAAATACTTTGATGGTGGTTTTGTGGTCCGGATTTTAGATTATTCCGGATAATGGAAGTCTGGATTTCGGACTTTGTATTTTGAATCCTTAAATAAAGGTATACTAGTCCCTGTGAGCAAGGTATTAATTTACATGAGAAGTGACACTGGAAATAAAAGAAAACGAATGATTTTGAAGCAAAAGTGTTTTAAAAAACTGTATTACTTTAGAAAAGTGTTATTTTGAAATAAATATTTCATATGTATATTGTACAAACGTGTACTACGTGCATTCAACATCGTATATACATATACAGTGATGTAGATTTAGTTTGTTTCCTTAAAAAGGTACATTAGACTGATTCAAGCAGTTAGCCTAAATTGCATAAAACGTGTTTGTAGAAATAATACTAATTAGCATTAAAATATCAGACTTACCATAGATTAAATGTAATTTAGAAAATATTCATCGATAGCTTACTACTCATTTCTTTGTATATCGAGATGTCCTGTCTTCGATTCTATGTTGAAGCCATGAATCTAAATGAATGAAATTCAGCTTGATTTTTCTTTTCTGAGTTCAGAAGAAGAATGATATAAATAATCGTTTCAATGCCAAATACTTATAATTATTTGACTGTCCATTTCACTCGATGAAAAATCGTTTGCAGAATTTAGATTCCTTTCGATTTTAGATGACGACTTACAATTGGAAGTTGGAAATAATTACATTTACTGACATTTTGCTAGGGAAAGCATTATAATTTTATAAAATATCTAAATAAATTCTAATTAAAGAAGGTTTTGAGATGTCCAAAGTATTATTTGCCTCACGTGAAGAGGCAAGAATGATGACAATAGATGATAACAATAAAAAAGACTTAAAAGATTTTATATTTTACTGCTTTACATATTGCATAAATGTTAGTAAAACAGCTCTGTTATACTCTGAAAAAAAAAAAAAAAAAAAAAAAAAAAAAAAAAAAAAGATACTCTGCATATGCTAACATTTTCATGCTTAAGCACTGCAGAACAATGCCGAAAGAAGCATGACGCTGCTCTACTACAAAAGATCATAGAAAACATTTCCCCAAAAAGATAAAAAGTTAACTATAAGAAAGAGACTGCTTTTGTTATTTTATAATATTATTTTCAGTCTAAGTGTGAGACTTTCTTACATACATAAAAATGCAACATTCTTGAAGCTGTTTAAGAGTTAACGTCTACCAGAAATGATATACCATAAAAATTTTATAAATACTTTTAATATTCACATCAATTTAGACATTCTTTAAGACGGGAAAAGGAAAGTCTGAAATATGATAATGTAGTTCATTAATTCGTGGTGTATATCATTTTCTGAATTTTAAATAAGAAGGATAGCTACAGTTTTATTCGAATATTTCATTACACGGGATTACATCGCATCAAATTACCACGGTAATGGAAGCTGTATTGCATATTTTGTTCCCATATAAATTCCAAAAATATTATTCTTAAATTCTTCAAGTAATATCGGTAACTTGTATTCCCGACTAATGTCTGAGTATGTGTGTATTTAAAAAAAAATATGTGTATCTTGAAGATAACATCTATGTATTAACAACACATATGTTAACCTAGCTCGGATTCTTCCTTAAGCGAGATATTCTGCAAGTGTTACGTAGTGTGATATTACCATTTCTTTTCATGCGATGATTCAGCATGGATTTCGATTCCGACAACCAAATGTCCGAGGACGAAAATGACCTTATCCTTTCTGATTGCCTACCTGTTTTTGACCCAGAGGTCAGCATCTTTTGAAGCAGGCGTAATTGTCGTCCTTGTCCCGCTTTTATCCACTTTTTCCCAAGCAGAAAACTTTCACTATAACTTCCAGCTGAGAATAGAATATTATCGAAACACTTTCTTATCTGAGGATTAAAGTGTATTGGGCGCGCTTTAGAAGTGATTCTAAGGTGTGTCATCGTATTCCGGATTCATCTGTTGTTGGAGTCATCTGGAAGGAAGAATGAAGACCTAGAGTTATCTTCTGGGTGGACTTGGAAGGAGTGTTACAGAATCGTGATTATTTTAAGAACTCTACACAGGAAAATTACACTAATTCTTGAGTATCATCATTTGTATCATGGCGTCCACTTCTAGCCATCACCATCATACATCTTCTTTCAGAGGTCCTCTTCCTGGTGAAGCGAAACCTCACTTTTCTCATCATTCCTATAAGGTAAAATAAAAGCATAGATAATATTTAATTAATCGTTTCATCATGAAGCATTTTTAGGAAAATGTTCTTCAGATATTGTTGCATTTTGCATTGTTTGGTCTGCTTTTAATGTGTTTTTGGAGGTATGTTTAACGATTAGTAAACTTAATAAATAAATGCTTAATAAATAGAGCTTAATAAATAAATTAAATACGATTAGTAAGTTTGATAAAATTAATTTAATTAAAAGCTCAATAAATAAAGCTTAATAAATAATGAGTAAGCTTAATAAATAAATCCATTAAATTTTGATAAATACTGATTGTTAAAATCAGGCAAAAATGTAACTTTACTTTGATGCAGATTTTCAGTTTGATGCAATAAAACTCTGTCGATTTCGAAGGAAATCGGGCATAGGTCCTTCTTTTATTTTTGCTCCTGAAGAAGAGGGACCTATGTCTGATCGCCTTGTAATGGACCTAGTTTTTGCTTTCCCAAACTCTTCCCCAAATTGAGGCTGCCTTTTTTTTTTTTTTTTTTTTTTTTTTTTTTTGCCTAGTTTTAAATTTACACTGCCGTCTTCCTAGTTTGAAATACTGAGTTTCTAAAGTTAAACTGGCATAGGATCTTAACAACAACAATAAAGAGTCGTCTTCAGAACTCTTTATACATCTAGCGAAGGAGCTTTTTCTTGTTTCTTAAATGGTCTAGAATCTCTAATGGATGTTCCTGAGTAATGACTATTTGATATTAAAAGAGTATTAAATGGAGCGAAATCCTAAAACTGTATAATTTATAACTTACTATGTTTTTGAGTTAATCGATAACTTATTATGTTTTTGAGTTCCATACATGTAAAAATATGGTTGAATGTATTGAGTATATTAGGACTATAATGTGAAGAAAAGTTAAAAATAATAATTGTACAAGCTTTAGTGAAAAATTATAAGAAATCCAACCATTAGTTGTTTTGGTTTACAGGAAATTTTATCAGTTTTGAAGAAGTCAGGCATCAAACTTTAAGTTAGATCAGCGGTTCGCAACGGGTGGTACGCATACCACCGGTGATACCCAAGAGAAAAATAGGTGGCACGCAAAGAAGCAAAGTATTTTTAACTATTAAATTCAAAAACCTCGGGAAAAGAACAACTGATAGAAATTTACTGTGATCGAACTCTAACTGAAGATTTAAAAAATAACACACTTGTTAACTTTTGGCTGAGCCTAAAAAAATTAAAGGCGTTTCAAACAAAGCTGTTACATTTTTATTGCCTTTTTCTGAACCTATTTGTGTGAACATGTATTTTCTTCCACGGTTTATTAGAAAAAGAAATACAGAACAAAATTTAAATTGGATCCTAATTTACAGGTAAAGTTAAGTGAAATAAGACCAGACATAAAGAAATTTCACACTAAATTTTAGAATTAATGTATTATAGCTTAAATTTTTATAATTAAAATGGTAACCCATTTTTAATCTAATATTTTTTATGTGTGCACATTTAATATAGCCAATAGGTGTGCAAATGGCAAAATATATAATTTTTAATCTTTCTATTCAGAAATTGAATAATAATCATTGTAAAATGTAGCGGTGGTACTAAAGGTTTTCAATTTTTATTTAGATGGTACGTGTTTAGTCAAGAGGTTGAGAACCGCTGAGTTAGATCATAGAGGTAGAAGAGTATTATGCGCAATATTATTTTTCCTTAACAGAGAGGGATTTTCTAGAAATAAATGCCCACCCAAAGTTTGCTTTTAAATAATTTTATTTTTAGTTCTATAAATTTAATGAATTCCGCTGAAGTTCATGACGATACAAAATATTTTGCCTACGACTCAAATTTATTCAGATATTTTTAACCCAAAGGCTTGTTAGCTCAGAAGGGCTATTGGCCTTGTAACGGCATTTTACATGGAATAACTATAAACAGCTGTATCACTTTTCAAACAGTTGCCACCAAATATTAGAGCCCTGTATTATCTTTAATGAAATTAAATAATGCAGATAATAAATCTGCATGAACGTATGTATGTTTCTCGCATTGTAAAAAAAGGGTACCTAAAGTCATCAAAATTTGAATAACCTAGTCCTACACGCGAATATGGGCACCTGGAAGCCCGAATCTTGAATTTCGAATTTGCTTTATTATCTCTTTTATATTTCTTAACCTTTAGCGAACTTTTGATTAATAAATTTAACGATTTAAAAGCGAGCAATGGCAGCACACTGTAAGAATATTTTTATCTCTAGCGCCCGATATTATCTATCGGAAATTCGAAAGAAATGCTTCTTTTCAATATTCGTAACCCAAATGCTGTCAAAACGTGCATGTATGTGTAAACGAAAGAAACACTCCCTTTTGACGTAAAATAAAATCTGAAAAAGCTTTCAGATATTTTTCATACACTGTTTTTCTTTTTTTCCCCTGTACCTGTATTAATAATATTAACTTTTAAATAAAAAGTTTATTCAAAGAATAAATATTCAGAAAAACTGATGCAATGTAAACTCAGCTAAACCAATTATACAGCTAATAAACTGTGTGACATTTTGCGTATTTCGAAATATGTCTGCACTAAATCATTCGCAATTGTCTATAGGATGAGACGATTACTGTATCATGTTAAAAAATAGATTAAATAGTTACACTGGAAATATCTTTAAGGAAATCTTTAAAAATTTCTGGATCATAACAACGCAACATTGCGTCTTTCTTATCATGCTACTTACCATTCACATAACTTGGCTAGTGATTCTGTTTCAAGAGAAATAAGATACTTAGTTTAATTACTACATTCCGGATAAATAGCCAGCCATAATTTATTGATGATGGCCACTCTGTGAGGCATAAAATTTTCAATTTGTATTACGTGCTCAATTACTCTATGCTTTCTAAACAAACGGAATAATATAAAAGCATTCATTTGTAATTTAAAGCACTATTTTATTTTTCAAGTAACAATCTAATTAATACAATATAATTAATGTACCCAAATTAAACATTTTATTAGAATTAGGAGTATTTTGATTAATATAAAATGGTTCTGACACAATATATTTGCCCATGACGATACAGAAACTTTTTAAATACAACTACTACCATTCTGAACGGGAAAAATACATATTTAAGTATAAAGAAAATCTAAAGAAATTAACTAATTGATTAAAAGTAATTAAAGTCTCCATGAAAAATTTTAACTTTAAAATATTTGTATTCTGTCCTGTTCGCTTTTCGCATCTCATTATAATATTCTACTACAGCATCAGGCATAGAAGTGGCTTAGCGAATTCAAATTCTGAGATCTGATCTGATTGATTACTGATTAAGAGCTCTGATTTGTATCAAATTTACGGCTGTACGTTGCTTATTAGGTCAGCAAAATGAGCGATTCAGAAACAAAACACGAATCCTTAACACTTTTTATCTTTGGAATTATAGTTGCGCATCGTTTAGAAAAGTAAAAACTTAGGATATTTAAAAACATTGTTAACTGTGAAAGCATTTTTGAATAATTTTTCTACTTAACTTCGTATTCATAATTTTATTCTTCATGTATATGGTAAAGTTGTGGAAAATTCTGGGTTTCATAATAGGTTTCGTATTAAATATATATGGTATAGACTATTTGTGTTTTTTTTATTATGTTTACATATATGGGTTGATTTTTCATACGAAGGAAATGTCCATAGTATTAAAAAAATAATTTGACTTTTTTCATGTTGTTGGAAAAAAGGGCATTTTTTTCCTCTAAACCAGCCATCTTGTGAAAGAATATATTATCATCTTGAGCTTTATAAAATAGAAAGAAAAATATTAATAATGATATAGTAATAATAATATAAATAATAATACAAATTATAATAATAACATAAATAATAATAATAAAAGTTATAACAATAATATAAAAAATAATAATAATATAAATTAAAACAATAATATAAATTCGTAACAGTGTAAACATTTGCTAATGAACAGGCGAATGCTGTGTCGCGAAATTCTTTATGAAAAAAAAATATGTGTTTTGGTGAAAAAATAAAAAGTAAATGTTCTACGATTTCCACTACATATTTTATACATCGTCACCGCGTCATCAAGATCGAAACTATTTGGCAAGTAAAAAAATAGTTTTAATTTATAATCGCCCCCTTAGCTTAAAAAAATCAGCTTTATAGCTTAATATTTCTTCCTTTCAATCCTAAAATTCATAATATGCTCATAATAAATTTCTCCGTACTATGCCATTTCAAAATTAATCTTACCCTGATTCTTAGTAACCCTAATGACGCATTTACTTATATAATGGCAAAAGTGAAATTAAAATCTTTTATCCAGTAGCAATAAAAACTACTGAAACCAAAATCTTTAATCACCCAATAAAAATAGAACACTATTTGCGCTATTCCTTAATGTAAAATCAATCGTTGTCTTCCTCTGTCATAATGGGGCCTACCAGCGGCCGAGCGGTAAAGTCGCTGAACACTGGTAGTTCGGTCCGAGGTTCGAATCTCGCGAACCGGCTGGCTGCATGGGTGTTTTCTGGGTTTTCCCCATGTGTAACGTGTATACGAGCCAGTTTTCCTTAGAAAGTCATCCACGAAGGCATCCCTCACCTTAGGCAGATAGCCCTCGAGGCTTTGTCGTAATTAAATAACCAACCTCTGTCATAATGAACCATCGCTTTCCTTACTGAAAATCGTAATGATATAAATATGTTAGAAAATCAGTAACTGTTGGTTAAAGGGTGAGCGTCGTGTCTTTATTTAGCTATGTAATGTTCTCTGATATGTTACGCTGAGAATAACGAAGTGTTCAACCGGTCATGATTGTGTTTACCTTGTGACAATCCAAGTTTCATGGTCATCATCATTAACTACAAGCTCAAAAATTTTATTACATATACTGTAACGTTATATTTATAGGAAGTTAATAGTATTGCAGATAAAGTTAACTGATAATACTGACAAAAATTTTTCTCCATCAATGCTATTATTAAAAGATGTTTCTAACTTCAGAAATTAAAAGGATGCTGAAATGAAGTAAAATACCAGTTTGGAGACAACACCATGGGATTTATTTACTTCTGGCTTAAGAAATTAAGGTCAATCAAATCTACTCGAAAAATGAATACTTGGGATAAAAGCATGATAAAATAGAATAATTACCTTTGAGAACTGTGCATTGACCCCATAAAAGAAAATGAAAGTAAAAGGAATATTTGAAATTGAGAATATTTACGGAAAGAAAGATTAGTCTGCTTAGTGACAGGTTTTCCTTTGTTTGGTTTATTTAATTATGGCAAAGCCCTCGAGGGCTATTTACCTAAAAGAAGGGATGCCTTCGTGGAGGATTTGTTAAAGGAAATTCGCTCGTATACACGTTAAACATGGGGAAAACACGAAACTCCCATACAGCTTTCCCGTTTGCCGGAGTTAGAACCCTGGACCTAAATACCAGTGTTCAGCTACTCGCTTAGTGCAAGGATTTTTCCTAACAGAAATTAGCGTTATCAGCAAATGAATAAATATCATTAGAGTGATATTTCAGTTACGAAAGAAACTTGTGCGTAATGCTTAAATAAAATAGGAATTTTTAAATGTTTTTAAAATTATTTGTCATTTTATAAATTCATTCCATATTTTTATAAATAAAACAGAACCATAAAAGCTTTAAAGTGTTCTCAACTTTTATACGTAATCAATCAGTTTATATGCCAATGCATAAACATTTTAATAATAATTCTTATAACGAAGTAACATTGAAAATTGTGTATATTGATAAAGTTTTATTTCTTTCTTTAGTTACCAAGAATGGTGGAAGGATTAGCAAAAGGGGTGAAATATGCCCTGTTCATTGCCAACTGTGTCATCCTCGTGAGTATCTCTTTCATTTACTTTTTCCTTTCGTACTCAGGTGTCTGCATTTATTAAGAAGAATCGTGACTTGATAACCTGTTATACTACGAATACATTTTTGATTGGTATTTAAGTCAATTAAATTTAATTTGATACTTAAATAAAAAAATATTTACCAGTTATACTTTCAAAATTCATAAATCTGTATTAAATTCAGTATTTGTGTCACTGAATTTACCTTTGTCTTATTAAACACCCCTAAGGAAACATCTTCGATGTATTTATTGTTGTCATTTCGTGGATTTCGTATCCTTCCTAGTAAAAGAAAAATTTGTGAACTTGAGGGAGATATTTGCTGCAAGCCTCGCATGCAAGCGATTCAATGAAATAACTGCACAACTACGTCTTGAATAATTAAGTATTTTATTTATTAAATAAGAGTCCCAATATGGCGTTAGTTTACTATGAAATTATATCAAGGAATTTTTTTCTGTGTCGTTTAACTTTGCAGTTTTGAACAACTCATTCGAAATACGAGTATTTTATGTTTCCTACGTATTCATTTCTGGGGGACTAATTCTTAAACTAATAGGGCAATTGTAATCGCATATTTCAAAACGACTGACTGACTGATTAATTTATTGCCGGACTACCACACAGTGTGCAGTTTTTCCGGCTCAATCAAATTTGCCATATGGGCGCATCACATATTACTATCTGCCGTGGTATCCCAGACGGAGCGGAGAAGGTATATTTTAAAATCATTTGATGTGTTCATTTAAAGTGTGCTTACAAAGATATGTTTGCAATTTCGTTTTAAGCTCATAAATTATTAAGTATTTATAATTTTTTGAGTTTTTACTGATTTTAAAGGCTTAATAATTTTTAGACTGTAATATCTTTTGAACTGTTAGGCAATGAAAGGTTAAATTACAACATTTTCCACGAAATGAATGGCTCTGATGACTGAAGCTTTAATGCGCATCAACTCTGTGCCCCTTTTGTAACATTATGAAAACGGTTGATATCACAAAGCCCTGATATTTACATTTAAAGGAATTTTGTACGTGCAAAATTGCGAAATTAATAAAAAAATAAATTTCATTATTTTAATGTACCGGCTTTTTTAAATATTTTATTTTACCTTTGTAGTAATTTAATAAATTGTACTCACCTGAAATTATTCCACTTTTTTGGGTTGGTGTATCTGTATTATGGCAAAGTGCACGAGAGTTTATTTATTTATGGGAAGAGTTGCATTCGTGGAGGATATTATAAGGGAAACTGGATTATATTCACGTTAGACGTAAGGGAACTCACCATTCAATTTTTTTATTCTTCAAGCATGGTGGCTATATTTAATTCAAATAATGCTCATGCTTATTTACTTGAATTGCTAAATGGGATGCTTCCCTGCGTAGGTAACTTTTCGCAATTCATAAAAAACTACAAATCTTTGACATGATCTTTGGACGTACAGATATAATTATATTGACATTTTAAGACACTCACAATAAAATTAACCTTTAATAGAAAAAAAAATAAATATATTGAATTACTATCTCAAAATGTTAAAGCGAGGAATCAAAACAAGCAAGCACGAAAATGAAGAAAGTTTTGACAATTTTTTAAGATGTGTGTAACTGAAATTACTATTTTAAATTTTCAGTAGTTTTTAAATTTAGGCATTTATGAAAGAAGTCAATTATTTTAATATACGTGTTATTAAGTTTTCCAGTTCCTGCTCTAAAATTATAGGCTATCTGTGTAAAGATGCTCATATCAGAAGTAATCTGTCCATTCACGATATTAGTTGTTTTGCATCATTTGTCTATAGGTGTATGAACACTATTTAGCTAGCTGGCTTATTATAGCGTTTTAAAGGTCTATGTGCCTTAAGATAGTAAATTCTACCCAAAAAAGAAACAATATGCTATAAAAACGCTATAGTATAGAATTCCTAAGAAATAGTATTCCTAAGAAAAGTAACGATGCTAAATATAAGAAATAAAGTAAATGCTTCACTTGCCAAAACAGTTTTTTTTTTTTTAAATTTTGGATTGATTTAAAAACTTAAAATTCGGTATATGGTTGGCTAATATTATTTTATGAAATTTATTAGACTTATAAAGTTTAAAGGGAAATAATTAGCAAATCTGCGTTACTGAGTAATACTTCATGAGCCTGTTTTATTCATGGCTGACCAAAGCCGCTTTAACAAAATGCATCATTCTTTTAACATTACTTCATATTTTTATACAGAGCTCTGCACAGAAAAAAATAACATTGTACTGTGTATGTAATCACACTATATGTGAAAATAGCACTCTAAAAATGCAAAGACTTTTGCTGTTTTAAAAAATATCGCAGGGTAGAGGAAAAGGTCTAATGCGTTTTTCATTTGTTCTTCTCTTTAGATATGCGGCATCGCGGTGTTTGCCGTGGGAGTATGGACACTGGCAGACCGTTCCTTCATGGAACGATTATTGGGAACGGACTTATACGTAAGCTCAGCATCCATTTTGATAGCGACAGGAGTCATTGTCACCATCATCTCCTTTCTGGGATGCTTTGGAGCTCTCAAAGAGGTTAAATGCATGCTTCTAACCGTAAGTATGTTCTTTGCTTCAGTAATGTTCTTTCTGTAACTTTTTTGCGGAAACTCTGAAACTGCAGCTGACGCAGCGCCAGTCACCAAATATGCTCCAAAGCACCAAATGTGGTAGCTTGTTAATATAGCATCATGGATAGCTGTGGATAGAATAGCCATGCAATACTGAGGCTGTGAATCATTCCGATTTTGTGTAGTTCTTTGAAGATTTTTAAGGGAAAACAAATTGCTCAATATATACGGAGAACAATAGCTCTCTCCATGTACACAGGGATCTGTTTTCTCTTAAAACATCCGAGAACTGTGGATATTTCCGATCGGGCATAGCTACCGCACATTGAAAATTACATATACTATATTATATTATATGATATATTACTGTTATTGTAAGCGAATTTTTTTTCATGAGACTTTACGTATTTTTAAGGTTGCCGCCATCTAGTTATATTTCACGCCAACGTTTATGTCACTTAGTTGTACCCCGTTAATAGAAAAGTACTCAATAACCTACTGTTAACAGTACTAACCACGTTAATTATGTTTTGCAATGGAATAGGTTAGCAATATGACCTATTCTTGATGTGATGATCTAAATAATAGTTATTCAGTTGTTCTTAGGAAAAGGACTGCATGAAACTTGTCTTTCCCGAACTTAATCCTACCGCTTTTTATTTAATCGATCCATCAGTTACACTTGTATAAACTTGTAAGATTTATTTAATTAATCAGATATTTTAAAATAATTCTTTTCTGCATTTCCTGTTTTCCTGTTGATCTGCACTATAATTTATGAATATCTTTTTATGAATATCTTTTTATGAATGTACCCTTTTTTGAATGAATTATTCCTCTTGAATATAAATTAATTTATCTGTAAATGCTTTTATATGCTAATGTATTCGCTACATTAGAGGCAAAATGCTTTTAATTGACTTTTTTAGATGATGAAATCTCGAAGAAATGAATGCAAAATTGCAGGTTTTTAAGAAAAGAATTCAAAAATAAAATCTCAGTATTTTATCTTCGAGTGTATTTTTTTAGTTCTAACGGAATTCGTTTAAACTTGAAAGGAAATCCTTTTATCTCTCTCTTTCAACAGACATATGTATCGAAATCAGATGGTATTCTAAGGGAAAAAACCCATTTTCCAATTCTGGAGCATGTTGCCTTCTTTGAATTGGCTATTAAATTTACTTGTACGCTTCTGAAAAATTTTAGAACTTTTCGTTGTTTTGTGCTTAGACCTATCGATCTTCATTCAGAAGTCCAACGAAGAAAGTTCTCGCCGAATAAACTTTCCTAAACAGTTCCCCTTTTCTTTCACAAGTTTAAAACATTCTTTTTGTTTTATTCATTGAAATAGATAGGATCCCTAAAGTTTAAAATGAAAATTTTGTTTCAGATAGGAGATAGAAGTTATATGTTTGGGTTAACGTATTTTTAGTTCTTTAGCCGAACATTGCGAAGAAAAAGGAACTCGTGATTTAGCGCAGAAAATATTACAACCGAACTAAAAATTTATATTTTTTATTTTTCATTATTTTCCACACTATCGTGTAGGAAATGTAATAAGATAGGAATTTGTTTCACGTTAAGAGAAAAAAAGGGCACAAAATTTAAGTATAATAAATGAAGTATTGCCGTGAAAGTGGATAAAGAATACTAAGAGGTGCAATTTTAAGATTTTTCTCAAGTGCTGAAATCCCTTAGCTTAGCATTCTGCCACAAATTTTATTCCTTAATTACCATATACATAAAAGTTAAATATTGAAATAAATATTTCTGATGAAAAAATGGCATTACTAGGTATTCTTTTAACTGGGTTAACGTGAGCTCAGTTAAGAGAACCCAAATAAGGAAAGAACCCATGCAAAAAAAATCATGAAAAAAAAAAAAAAAAAAAATGCCGGTACCTAACCCAAAAATATCATGCTTGACACAGAGAGTATAGATCATGTTTTGCTACATGTTTTTGTCACACGGTAGAATAGCCATTAGTTTTGAACATTTTAAATGTGTTAGGTTTTACATGTGTCAACTTTTTAAATTTGTCTACTATTAAATATAGATTCAAATTTACTTTTAAAATCTCTGTAGTGTTCCTAATTACATGATTTTGGAGTTGCCTGAACGAAAAATTACGAATGCTGTCAGTAACTTCACAAAAGATACTTTATTTTATAAGAATCTAGGTATTTAGTAATCTTTAGCAGCTAGAATACTTAAGAAGTGTGCGACGACTAATTGCTAACTTCAAAGGCCAATAATAAGTCCAAAGAAGGGTTAAATTACCCTTTTTATTTAACTCAAGAATATTCACAGTTGGCTTACAGAAAGCTTCCACTTGGGCTTTCTGAAAATAAGAAACTAAACTTATGCTAACTAAATAAACCAGCCAAAACTGAACAGCAATAACTAACAGAGTGGGTCGTTAGTACGATCAAGGGGAATACTAGTAAAGCACGTAACAATATAGACGAACGTAAAGATTAGATTTAAAGCAACGACGTGGCCATAACGAAAATACGCTGTATTGAGAACTCCCAATCTGTTCTCCTGAAGGACCGAGACTTCGTTTTAACTAATGATTCTATCTCATTTACATAAAAAGCGATCTTGAAAGTTCATTCTTGTAAGGAATCGTAGGCGGACAACACGAGAATAAAGGACAGCTGTTCAAAATTAAAAATATCTAGTAGGAAATTAAAATAACCCCTACAACTTGTTTTATTAGTTTCCTTTTACTTAATATGCATATGCTCATATACAGTTTCATGAAATAATTAAATGCTATAGATATGAACAGGTTAATTATTTTATTACAAAAAAGAAAATATAGATAATTAATATTTGATTTAAATTTAAACATGTGAGTTATTAATTTTTGTTTTGGCACTTTTTTTACAAATGAATTATTGCAATTTGAGATTACAATAATTTATTTACGTCAAAGCTTAAATATAAGAATTATTTATATAAATCAAAAGTATTCATGTGAAAACAAAGTGAGAAAGTCGTGTTTTAATTATAATCAAGAAATTACCATTTATTTATGCATTACATTCTTAGGAATTTAAAATTTCAGAACATAAGCAGTAACTCTCGGAGGGTTAATACCACATTCTTATAAGCTTAGATGACTAAGTACTTCGAAAGATGGTCTTGAACGAATTGAGAATTCACGCAGTTCTATCATACAAATTTTCAATGTTGCATGACAACATTTGCGAGAATATTTATATTTGTATTCCAGCAAATGTATAAGAATACTTGGAATTAAGTACGAAAATTGTTATCAGATCAAATGAAAACAAAACCTTAACAAGAAGGAAAATATTAATGAAATACAACTTAAAAAAAGGTACTTTTAATGAAACAGCTGTTATTAAAAATAGAAACAAGTGCTTTTTATTTCATTGCTTGGAATTTTATTATATTTATAGAAACCATATACGTAACTTCATCAGCTTTTGGATAAATATTAATTCGAAACATTTTATCTTGTAGTTCTTCATCATCCTATTCATGATCTTCATCGTTATGCTTGTGGGTGGAATCTTAGGCTATGTTTTCAGGAATGAGGTAAGAGTAAGCTTGTTGCTTTTCACTTCTGTTTGCTAGTTTAAGAAGTTAATTGATCAAACGCGCAACAAAATAATCCTTTGAAGTTAGAGATTCTATGCTGTGTTGTTTAGTTGCTCAACCTGATATATCTTGTATCATTTATTATTATTTCCTAAACAGTCATTTTTAATTTTCACTCTGATTTCATTTTAACGTCTACCTCTGATTTTTATTCACAAATGAATTTACTCCAAAACAAGATGTCAATTAGCTAACTGGAAGGAAACATTAGGAATGAATAGGTCGCGTTAATTATAACTTCTATAATTTACTTTTCCAATGAGTGGTAGAAGAAAAATAAAATACCTTCGGCGGACCAACAGGCAAAGGTCCAACCTCTCGTGGCAATTGGCAACCCATTTTTAATGAACGGTGGAAGAATATTGTGGTATCGCTCAAGCTCTATGAAGAAAATTGCCTGGAGATAGCTAAGATGGTATGCACCGCCCATGGTACCCACCTAACTGATTTCATGGACACGACAACAAACAATAATTTACTTGAACTCAAACTAAGTATGGCTTCTTAGTTCTCATTTAGACTTCCGAGCTTCAACTGAGAGAAATCATGATTGAATAAGTGATAAATTGGTTTATAGCAGATAGGCGTAATTGAGATTCAGAAGGTATATCTCAATTTAATATAACGCTGCTCAATTTATTATAACATAATTTAATGCAAATGTGCTGGCACAACGAAGTCCGGCCAGCAGTGTTATATTAAATTATTCGGTATATTAAATTACTGTAATTACAGCTTTATATTAAATTGCAGCATTGCAGCGGAACCTCGAGATACGAGTTTAATTCGTTCCAGCATTCGTATCTCGACGTTCCATTGTATATTAAATTACTGTAATTAGCATTTGTTTTAATTTTACTGGATTATTGTGAATTCTTTTCACTCTGTTACCCTAAGTAAAGGAGTAAATATAAATTAGTGTGTTAGTTTAGTACGTCTCTTTCTGCTTAGTTATTAAATAACAGTCATTTTGATCACATATATTGAATTAACAGACTGTTAGGTTAAGTAAGTCAACAAGTAATAATAATCGTTCAGTTCATATTGTAAGGTAATATTGCTATAATTTTTCAATTCACATTATCAGTTGTCAGATAAGAAACTTCTATCGATTTTTAAAATACAAGGGCTAAATATTATACTATTGAAATAGCAATCAAAATTTATCAAATGGTATTTCCCGAATTACTGAGAGATTTCTTTTCGGTAGGGCATTTTTTTGGTTTTTCTATTTTATCAGATATTACGTTTATGACAGGAAATATTTAATAACATCAAAATTTTTTCCCCTCAGCATAATTTTGAAATTATTGAACAATCGAACAGGTTTTCCAGTTAGCTTAAATGTCACAAACTGTTAGTTACATTTTTTGCATTAGTTAATATGGATTCATCATACCAGATTTTGCACATTTCATTTTCATTATATTTACTAGGTGTTTTACTCCACATTATTTGCTGTTATCTGAGTTATTTACTTTTCTGTATCCCGTTAATAGAATCCAGCGTATGAGACAAGATTTAGAAACTAGGATTAAAATGAAATTCGATGCAGATAAAATTTTATTGAATACGCTGATGATTAATATATCTTAAAAATTCTGTATCAAAAATTCGACAAATATCTCTTGAGTAGACTTATTTTATTTGTAACTTATATAATTTACTTGTACTCAATATAATTTAGCTTTCGAGCTTCAACTGAGAGAAATCATGACTGGATAAATGATAAACTGGTTGCTAGCAGACAGGCGCAATTGAGTTTCAGGTGTCTTATCAAAGTCATACTGCCTGTCCATCTTGAAGAAAGTTATAATAAGCTTAAGGAGAGATCGCAGCATTAGCTCGCCTGTCAGGAATCTGAGAGGCCACAAATAAGACTCTACTCAAAGTTTTCATCCTTGTTAGAGAGTTGGATATCCAATGCTGCAGTCTGCTATTAGAAAAGTACTCTGCTCGTATTCCATTAATAGGCATGGCCAGTACTTCGAAAGGCATTTTCAGGTATAGATCTAAACAACACATAGAGATGTCGTCTACTGTTTTTTAGATCCAAATTCTAGTTTATTAACTTAAATCTATTTTGAATGATTTACAAAACAGAAAATGAAGTTCCTCAGAATTGTAATGATTAGAAAACATCTTATGCCATCAGATGAGAGATTCTCAAAGGAGACCTGAATCTTTTGAAAGACATTCTTTTAGTGAGTTATAGTCTGTTACATTAAAATAGGAAGTTCAAAGTTAGTTTCGGTAAGCCGATTTGACTCGCAACCATGGAAACAACAGCTGCGGAAGAAAGGTGACTGGTTTAATCCTCCCCACTTTATTTCCGTTCAGCGTGTTCCCGTGGAAAAGCACGAGAATGAAGGCTGACTTGAAGTGCTGTCTCAAATGACGTGGAGAAAGTAAATGCTATGCAATGATGACGACGCAAGTTACGATCGCAAAGGATGAAGGGCTGGCTTGAAGTGCCTATTTTAAAGTAAAGATTGTAATTTGAAAATTAATTGTTGAGTTTCAATTTTAATAAACTGAGAAATGTTTTGTTTTCATAAAATATTAGTTCTGTTTCTCTTTTAAACAAAGACACAAACGAAACAAAAATTCAAATGACAGTACTTAAATGTTAATAGTGATAACAGTAATTAAAGCATAAGTTTTCCTGAAAAGAAAGGAGTTCTTTCAGAGAATAAATTTTTGTCAAAAGTATTATAACTAATTCTGTGCAGTTCATTCTACAGAATATTTCTATATTACATGATTTATTTGTGTTATGTTCAGGTGGAAAAACAGATGCACCAAGAGATGCTCACAACAATTCCAATGTACAAGAATGATACAGCCGTTACAGATGCTTGGGATGCAGTCCAAGAATACGTAAGTATGAACTGTATTTTAAAGCTATAATAAGATTTTTTTCACATATTTTGTGGCATTCAGAGGCCTGTAAATCAAGCAAAGTTAATATATAATTTTCAGAGCTAAAGGTAATGAACAAAAGATGTGATTGAACAAAATTGACTTTTAGCTAATAATTTTCATTTTGGAAGACTCTTTTACAATTTTGATTACACTTTGCTACTAAAGACATATTTCTAAGAAAGTATTCAAGAAAATGAAGATAATAATACTATTCCTTTTTGCATTTCAATATCTAAACAGAATTTCTAACTGGTTTTATAATTAGTTTCTATTTAGTCAGTCCAAAAAGAAGCTAACTAGTTAGTTAGTTAAAGTAATTTAATCGCTGTAACATTCTATTGTGCGTATATTTTCTGTAAAATATTTCGTTAACTCTTAGAAAAAGGTAGACGTAACTTTCTAAAAATAATTATAAAAGCAATTTCATGCACATTACTTTGAAGTACTCTTCAACAATCTGCGTCGTGCAATGTAGTCAAAAAAAAGTTTAGCAAGAGATACTGAAAACTATTTGTTCGAATTTAAGATACGAATTACGAAAAGAAAACTTGTATACCTTGCACACACACACACACACACACACAAAAGGGGGGGGACAGTTCGATATCTCCCGTTCTACTGGATCGGTTGTCGAAATTTAACTTGCATTTTCCATGTCTTGAAAGCGCGACTTAGGATATATATCAGATTTATATATAGCATTGTTCTAGGATAGGCATTTTGGCACGAAAACATAGGCAGTCCCCACAAGTAGGCTGAGTTTCTAGTAAACGAAAATTCAATGTTCTCAAGTAGTTCTGTGTTTCGTCTACGGATCTTAATTGAATGTTACAAATTCAGAGAAATACAATCCAAAATGTTTTTGTTTGATTAATTTTGATTATGTCAAAGCTTGCTAGGTTTTGATTATGGAAAAGCACGATATCTGTTGAAGGGAAGATGGAAGACTTTCTAATGGAAACTGGCTCATATCCACATTACACTAGGATCACCACTAAAACTTCCAGCCGGCCCAATGGCCTAGAACTAAACCCAGATCGAACCAGGTTAACGTTCATCGACTTTACCACTCGGCCGCTAGTGGAGTTCAAAAAAGAATGAATGGCATATTTCTGTTTAATAATAAAGAGGATTCTCGGAAAACTTGCTTGCATTTTTAACTGTTGAAAAGTTGAAATTCTTTTTACGTATTAAAACTTTAAATATTCAATTCCGCAAGTTTAATATTTAAAACTCTATGTCATTTACTGAAGCATATTTGTAGGTGTTTTAAACTGCAAATTATGGTTCTGTTCAAAGCTTTTAAATTGAATGACAAAATCAAGACAGAGTTGATAAAATTTCTAGATAATATTGAAGTTATCTTATCCAAGTTAAGAAGAAGAAAAATCGCTTTTTCAATATAACTTACTATGATTCAAATTTATAATTATTTAAGACGCTTTGTTGTATTGCGAATGGTTGATTCATTTCTCCTTTTCAAATGTCTCCTTCCTGTCATCTTAATCATACGCTGAAACATCTTACTAGAAGATAAATAAAGGAATTAAAAGACATTCGTTGAGCACTCATTTAGAAGATTGTTGCACTTTAGTGATGAACGAATTTATTATTATAACAAAAGGAAATCTAATATGACTTACAAATGATAAATGATTTTTCTCATAACCGTCAATAATTCTTTTAAAACTTGACCATGATTTCAGTGTTACTGCGTATCGTAAAATGTTATGATTTTTTTAATGTACAATACTGCTTCTTGTCTGCTTTCCATGATCCTTGATTTGCAAACTGAAGGACAAAATGAAATGAAAAGGCGAATTACGTACATTTATTAAAGACCTCTCTGAGCCACCTCTGAGCAAGAAGAAATTCTGAATCAAAGATGGCTTTTTAACTGAAAAAGCATTACTACTATAGAAAAAGGGTCTTTCTCCAAATAACTGACAGATAATCACGCATTTCAGCACGCATCTATTTCACAACGCATTACGCATTTTTTATTTCTTCTGCTAAATTATGCTGAATCGTTCGTTGTTTTACATTCATATAAAAATAATATTAATTTATAAATTTAATTATGTTTAGTCAAAGATATTCCAGGATAGCAATGAGACTCAACAGATCCCAAACGACTATATTTTCATATAATATTTTTAGGATATGTTTAGATATTTAGTGATTTTGTGTAGGATTCCATGCCTATCTTACTAAATTCTAAATTCGAGCAAGCAAAGGTTTATTCGGACATACGTTTTCGCAATTATTTTCATAGCTAATAAAAGTGCATGAATTGCTGAGGTGACAGCGGAATTCGACATTCCTTCCATTCAGAAAGGTAACAATATTTTATGCCAGCTGGCTTGTCCGGCAATCACTGATTTTATTTCTTCTGCTAAGTGATGCTGAATCGTTCGTTGTTTTACATTTATATAAAAATGATATTAATTTATAAATAAAATTAAACAATGCATATAAATAAAATTAAACAACAAATGTAAACAAAATAATATTAATATTTACTTTAAAAGATATAAATTGTATAATTTAATATAAACTTTAAAAAATGTGTTTATTTTAGTTTATATTTCGTCAAATTTAGCGCTACAAACTTTATATCTAAAAATGCGCTCCGCAGATTGAATCTAGCAACATTTAAACACATATAAAAATAATATTAATCTAAAAGAGGTATACTTATTTTAGATCATTTTTCCTCATATTTAACCAAAAACCTCTAATCGGAAAATGCATTTCGCAGACTAAATTTATGGCCTTCATATTTAAAATTACATTGTATCTATGAGTATATATTTTTGCCATTTTCTTATTAATCAAACAATGACTCGCGAAGAGTAGAGAATTTTTTTCAAAGGTAAGCTACATAGGTATTAAATTCTAAAAACACCTTGATTAACAGATAAACTTTTGATTTTAGGAGACAAAAGAATTTAGCATATATATTCGGAGTAATTTTAAATTTCTCTCAACAAACAATGTTAATGTAGACCACTTTTACTAGGAATAAATACAAAGCAATCTGAGAGTCCTCAGATTTTAATGTTCCTCCAAAAGAGCTCTTTTAGAGTTTAATATCGTTTACCAACAGAGGAAATCCACAGAAAGAGCCCAAGTGGAATAGCGAAACATTTTATAGAATACCAGATAGAACGAACATGGAAACGTTATATATCTTCTGAATATTTAAAAAGTGGGAAAATATATGACGTAATTCTAGAAAACTATTTAATGTTTTTAATTTTCCAGATCATTAATTAAATGCATTTTTATTTAACTGAATCAGATTCAAAAATAAAAAAGAATGTTCTTAAAAACTGCATCTATTGCTCTTAGATAGTTTAGCTTGTTCATCGTAAGCTTAAAGATTAAATTTGAAAGATTGCGGAACTTACATTTTGTGGAATGGCAACAGGCATGAAAAGTGAAACAACGCAAAATCGTGTTTCGAGATTATAAGCCCTTTGGGAGCTTATTAATCCTAATTAAATAAAATAATATAATAAAAAATAAAACAAACATAAAATCTGAAAGCTTTCAGATTTTATATTACGCTCAAATGGATTTTTTTTTTTCACTGCGAATGCAAAACGGGATTTCTAAAACGAAACAGGCATTCAAAGTCATTCGACACAAAATACCGTTAGACATTCTAACGTCTTTGTGTTGCTACGCTACCGACATAATACCAATAAGAAATGTGAAGATACCTCGCGCATAAGGTATCCGTGCTTGAAGATGAACGCCATGTTAATGCGTGGAGGAACGCCATGGAGCGCTTTGAAATCGTTGAGTTTACTAATCAAAGTTCGTTAAAGATCACAAAATATGAAATAGATTTTAAAAGAAATTCCATATTCAAAATTTGGGCTTCCCGATGCTCATATTCGAGTGAGGACTATGCCATTTAAAATTTGATGCCTATACGTACCGTTGTTGTTTTTACAATGCGAGAAACATACATACATTCATGCAGATTATTCATTATTTAATTTATTAGGGCTCTAATATTTGGTGGTAACAATTTGAAAAATGATTCATACTTTTCTAGTGAACCAACGCAAAATGCCGAAACGAAATTAATTACCCTTCTGAGCAAATTGCTCTTTAGGCTAGCAATAAAACAAATTCGAAATTCAAGATTCGGGCTTTCAGTTGCTCATATATGAAGGACTACGTTATTCAAAATTTGATGGCACTAGGTTACTATGTTACTACAAAGGCGAAACCCCCAGCTCCTCCGACCGATAAATTCATTCAGCCATAAAGCTTTTAGAGGCCAGCCTGACAAAACAAAAACGAACTGGGGGGAAAAACGAATAAGCAGTTGAACATGTAATAAAACGACACACAAAGAAAATAAAACAGATACACATCATTCACTCAACAAATCCAGCCAAGTATCTCTGTGCGTTGATAATATTCATTATTTCCCTAGAATAAAGCAACATTTTACTATAATCCTTAAGATCTCTTGGAAATTCGATTTTAATTTTATTTCTAATACTTGCAGTCAGGCCACAGGTTTCAACGAAGGTGAACATTATCACCTCTTACGCTACATAGCTGACAAAGATTGTTTTCTTGGAGGGCAAATTTATTCAAGTTACATGGGAAAACGTCCATGTCCCGTCAAAACCTGATTTAGATCTATATCAGTGTAGCACTTTCTACCCTTATAAAATTGTATAGTAGGCATATAATTTTTTTTTTCTTTTTTTCCGAGAAATCTCAATCGTTTTTCCATTTTTCATATATACTATTGTATAAAATTCCAATAGTTTTTCTTCTAGAGCCCTTCAGTTTAATTTCTTTACAGTTGACAAGTGTCGCTTCTTTTGTTAGTGCGTCAGCCCTCTCATTACCATGAAAACGTACATGTGCCTTAATGTCAGTGTATGTTAATATTATATTTTGTACGTTGATTTCTATATTTCATTTTAATATTCACAATAAGTTTATTATCAAACCCAAGTGCAGAAAGGGATTACAAAGCCGATAGTGCATCAGATAATATGTGAACGCATTGACCACTAGATAATTTATTTTCGATCCAGGTAAAAGCCTGTAGTATTGCATAGAATTCAGCCTGGTACACTGTATTCGCGAAGTTTAATAAGAATTTTTTGTAGTCAATCTCAGTTCCGTAGTAGTACACTACAAATGCGCAACCAACGTTTCCTCCTAGACCCAAACCATCAGTATAAATATCATATTCATTTACAGTACATAATAATCGATCAAAATTTATGTGCAGGGTGAATCAATTCAAGGCATTCTTTAAAGGTATCACTTTTTAATTCTATATTAGAGATTTCCAATGATGTAATATATTTGTTTTTCAGTAAAAATTTGTTATAGAAAAGGCCGTATTGATATGAGGGGGGCACACCGGCAAGCACACACGCCACCTCTGTTGAAACGGTGCGGAAAGCACGCATAGCCGCAAGCCTCTCTGTATTGTATCTAATTTCTGTCAAATTCTCACAAGTTCCCCCGCCCTGCAGTCTCATGCGTCCAATGCCATACATAACAATTGGAATTACTACATTTTTAAAAATAAACAACAAGGTAGAGCTCTTCTTTGCAAGAGTTTCCGCAGTTAAAGTATTGCGATCATATTTCAAAATACCATCAGTTCTTTTCTATACATCCTTAAAATACTCCAAAAATGTTAATTTCGTATCGATGGCTCTAGGTATCGTTGTTTTTTTCACAGTGCGAGAAACATACATACATACATGCAGATTCTTCATTATTTCATTTCTTTAAATATAATACAGAGTGATAATATTTGGTAGCAACAATTTGAAAAGTGATACAGCCGTTTATAGTGATTCGACGCAAAACGCCGTTTCGAGACTCATAGCCCATTTGGGCTAAAGCTTCTTTGGGCTAAAAGGGCGTTTTTTTAATTGTACACTACTAGCTCATGATTATTTTTTTCTGCTTTTAGTTCAAGTGCTGCGGTCTAGCAGTGAACTACGACCAAAGCTACGAGATCTGGAGAAAAAAAAACCGAGAATTCACAGAAAAGAGAGTTCCTGTTTCGTGTTGTAAGGAAAAGGATGAGTCCTCTATCCGAAATTGCCAGTTTTCTAACGATCGAACAAATGTTTATACTGACGTAAGTATTTAAAATTTATAAAATATTTTTTCTTCCAGTCGCTTATACAAAAGCATTAAAGTTCAGGTTAAGTTGGAATCCGAGATGAAAAAGACACAGTTCTTAATCCTTTAAATTTCATTCCTAAAGTGAAAATAAGACATGCTGAGTTGATAAAAGCAAGTTGGTTTCTTTGTTGTGGAACTGTTAGTACCATATTAGTGGATATTATCACTTGCTTTTCATTTTCAAATGAACTCTTGCGACTTGTAATTAAAGAGACAATTTTATAAGTAAGTTTTTGTACCACGCAAGTGTTTGTCTCTTTTATTGTTCGTTTATTGCTTCCCTGTTAACTCCAACTATTTTTGTCCATGCCATATGGAACTTTGTTTAGATGCTTTTTTATACTCAAGTAAAAAAGTACAAGCTACTTAATTTACTAATATTATTGATATAAACTTAAATTCTAAATAAATGAAACGGTGTCTAAAATTTTATTTCTTTGCTAAAGTTATACAAACGCTAAATTGACGGATCGAGTCGAAATTTTGCATATCTTGTTGAGTTCCAATGTTGCAATAAAACCACCGAAAATCTGGGGTAAACGAGTAGACGATTCAATTCGAACTGCATAGTACGAAATCATTTCATCCGGAAGCAGATATATAGGTGGATCCGTAATTATGTTCCTATTAGTATTTCAGTCTAATTTTGTCAATAATGACGTTAAGTGTTATACTATTATTGTACCATATTTTATGCCATTTTGTAGCTGTTACAAATCATTTGCCTTCCGCAAGGTTAATCACAGAAGTCAACAATGGCTTTATGGTTGTCATTTTCTGAACTGTGCTCAGATTTTATTTAAGATGAAACTGTGGTACCTTCGGCAATAGCACTGAGATAGTGGTGACTAGGTAGTGTATTTTAATAGTGATGGTTGTTATACAATTAATTCTTTTTCTCAGTCGTTATATTCTAAGCTCCTGTTAAACATTATTTGTCAGTAGTTCTCAAACATTCCACTAAGTCGCGAATTGCTGGCTGAGGATTTTTCCACATTGTCCAAAGTCAGAACATAAGTTCAGTGCGCAGTTTTTGTGATTAAAATGAGTAAGTCAAAAATTAAATAAAATACACGCTTTAAATTGTATAAAATGAAATAGGTACATATTTTTAACAAGCATACCATAGAATAAATGGTTTGGTTGGTTTATTTAATCATGGCAAAGCACACTAGGGCTATCTGCCTAAGAGGAGGGATGCCTTCGTGGAGGACTTTCTAAGAAAAACTGGCTCGTATACACGTCACACATGGAGAAAACCACGAACACGCCCATGCAGCCAGCCCGTTCGCGGATTCGAACCTCGGACCGAACGACTGTTCAGCGACTTTACCGCTCGGCCGCGGGTGGGCCCATTGAATAAATGAATCGCAGTTGAGTGGAATAAAATAGTGAGTTAACAAAGGGAGTACAAGTACGTTTTTCATTACTAACCTTGTAAGGAGTTTAGTCCTTTCTTAGTGCGTGCCTTCTTGGTGTAAATGGAAGCACATCCGGCTAGCAATCCGACGGTTTAGAACTCGAATCCCGGCTAGGGCATTGCTGAATTTGCTGTTTTTTTGCTCCCATACAAACCTTATGGATCTTGAAAGAAAATTGGGTGGGCAATTATTTGGCACCGCTTGAATTTGGCGACTGCGTCCCCTTCCTTCCTACTCATCCTCTAAATGGGGAAGTAAGAAATTTTCTCCTTTCTTACCGCGTGCTTTCGTGATGTAATCGGAAGCTTATCAAGCTGGTATTTGATTCCCGGCGAAGGCATTCCTGATTTTTCCTCTTCCCTACTCAACAAAAACCCAATGACTTGAAATCTTGGAGTCAGTCTGGACATAACCATCTCATTTTCTCTTTCACATTGACTTTTCCTATGATTGCTTTTCTATACAGCAAACGTCGAAAACTTAGCTTTGCACAAACATGACATTGTGCCATTCATTTCCACTTCATCTGTTAAGGATTTTTAGAAATTTGTTACTTATCTCTGCTCTCAGATTTTAACTTTAATGTTTTGTCGTAAGGCAGCTCAATAATATTTCCAAGGTGCCACAATGTACAGTCTGGGATCACCGTTAAGAGCGATGAGAAATTTATTGTTATTGAAATGGTTGATATGTAATTATTATTATGCTGTTGCATTTTAAAATATCAGTATTGTATCTTTTATATTACATATGCTTTCGTAAAAAAACAAAAGAAAGAGTCAAAATCATAATTAAGATCCCTAAGCTGCCGTAGGTGTAACCAGGGTTTACTCCCTAATGTTATCATGGGCAACTAACATTCCCTTTGCACTACAACTGCATTATGCACTGAGAAGCACTATACATAAATATCATCCTTATAACGAAATGCATACATGACAGAGAAAAAGTGCATAGTACCTCTGAGTTCAGGAGAAATTCTAAGATAATGAATATCTAATATATTAATATGTTAAATTAAATATTTCTTTTATAATAAGTAGATATACATTTTAAAATTGAGCAGTTAAATTTATTTATATATTTTAATCTACTTTTACGAAATTTTGAGAACATTTCTAAGACGCAGATGGAAATTTTACTTAAAAGAATAAGATTCAAAATTAATTAAAAACTAATCAATTCATAGTTAATGCTGGAAACCCGACGAACTCAGGAACAGAGGAACACTTGATAATATTAAGAAAAAATATTTAATGGTTAACAAGATGCAGAATGCAAATCTTGAACGCATCAGAAAACGTTTCAAATTAAAATTACGTTTACACTTTACAGGGACTGTTCATTAATATTTAAAACGTTTTCACTAAAATACTGCTCTACTTTCAGGACTGTTACGAGAAGATGAAAGACTTCGTCAAGGATCATGCATTGATCTTAGGAGGAATAGGGATTGGAATCTCCTGCGTTCTAGTAAGTAATCCAAGAATGCATACATACAAAACAAATGCTGCGATTCTTCAAGATTGTTGAGTCTGAATTAAAGAGTATAAAGATAAAAGTTAAATCTATGTTTTTCAATCAATTTTTAACTAGGATGTGTATTGCAAATTTATATTATTTCATCTAGCAGCTTTACATTTCTTTAGTTTCGCATATGTTTACATACATTTGTATATTACTTTACATATGTTAGACTTTTATTTTAATATTTACTTTAAATATTTTAACATTAAGCATTTATTCATACAAGCATTTTAATACTGGCTTTTGTTCTAATATTGAATTAATTTTTATATAGATGAATTTATTTTCTCTTTTACTTTACTCTCAACTTAATTAAGGAAAAATGTTTGGACATAAATATATTTAGAATGCTCTGCATTTTCACATATTTCATCTTTGTTGATTTGCTCAAAAATGTGAAACTTTTTAAATTTAACTTCTAATGATAACTTACTTACTAGGCTAAATATATAATTATTTTCATAAAATGTATTATGATAATATGTGTACAATTACTGTAGCATTTTATCTTATATATTATGTTAAAAATGCTTGTATGATCTTTATTTTTGCAACCTTTCTTAGCAAGTTGCAAAATTACTTTAAATAAAGAAAATATTTACATTATGGTTTTTTTTGTATTAAGAAAACAATTTTGTGAAAATTATGAAATCTATTTTTTATATGTCCCCCGCTTATTATAGTTACATTTAGTAACTGTTTATATTCATTAAAATAATACGTTTATACGTAACTAAAAATGAAACATCGGCTTTAGAAAAAAGGTTTCTGATGTTGATAGAGTAAGTGAGATGCTTTGCGATATAGACTGGCGTGAAAAGTAATGATACATAGACGTCTTAAAAAGTAATGATACATAATATCATTACTTTTTAAGACGTCTATCACGATATATATATATATATATCGTGATATATATTTTACCTATCACTTTCTGTTATCCGTTAGTCACTGGGAAAATTTGAGATTTATTAAAAAATAAAGAGCGAAAATAAACGAAAAATACAAAACAACCGTTATTTCAGACCCGTTATTTTGTACAACCCTCTATTTAATGAAGTCGCAACAACAACCCTCTATTTAATGAAGTCAACTCTCTATTTAATGAAGTCGCAAAATCACGCAAAAAACTTCACTAAATAAAGTAATTCGAAAAATGGAGATTGTGATAAAACACAATTTTAGATCATTTTTTTAATTTTAAATATAAAATAATAGTAAAAAATGAAATATAGATGCAAAATTACATACATTAAGGTATCTATTTCATCAAAGTTACGCAGGAAAATTAGTAAATTCATTTCGGAAAATAATCAGTTATTTTGACAATTAAATTTTTGGGAACAACGTACCATGTTATAATAAGTCTAACATCTTTCTAACGCACCGAAAGCATCTTTAAGTACACTTTCTTCAAGCTGAAAACCGCGCCATGAAGTATGAAAATCATTTAGCATTCTCTTCTGGCAAAGATTTTGTTAATTCATTTTCATTAGCGTTTTCATATTCCCCATCATAAATTTCTTTCCGGCTGCTATTTTTTATGCTCTAAGATATCTCCTCTTGAGTAGGAATTCCTGAGATATCAACGTCGTTATCTATAAATAGACAACCTTGTAGTTGTTCATTATCTTCTAGTAGTTCCTCGATTTTTCAACTGTAGCCACATATTATTCAGTCCCTCATTTTATTCATCATCGTCATTGGCAAATTGGGGTCTTGTTTAAGAAACCCAACCTCTACGATAATAACATCTGTCAGATTTGCCAGGCTACCATTTTCGCTCATGGCATTATTCGAATAGGCTTTATCACAGACACGACAACAACACCGTCAATTGGCATTACTATCATCAGTAAAATCAATCTTGCTGATAAAGCCAGCTTTTTGGGAGTTGTTGCGAAGAGTATGTTTAGTGACATCATAATTCCATAATTTTGCAAATTCAGACACTGACCCACGTATACTTAGTATACATATATAATGTTTATTTTATATTCTCATTAGGCCTTTCTTCAAAATTCTTCTACGATCATGCGTCTTAACACTTATTATCACCCTTTGATCCACAGGCTGTAGTTTTCTCAACAGTAGTTGGATGAAAGAAAAAACATTAATGTAGTTATACTTCTCTTTGATGTCTTGAAGGTGAGAATTTAATTGATTCTCATCCCTAGTCAATTGTTTTATTCGAAGAAAATCTATCTAGCAGTGAATTTTAGTATTTGAGATAATACATAAATCTAAAAGCAACGTAGTGGAAATTCGGTTACTCATTACTATTTTACCCATCACTTTCTGTTATCCGTTAGTTACTGGGAAAATTTGAGATTTATTAAAAAAATAAAGAGCGAAAATAAACGAAAAATAAAAAAACCGTTATTTCAGACCCGTTATTTTGTACAATAACGTATGACTGCTTCTTCAGCTTTAAAACTTTGATATAATAATTTATAGAATGCAATGTTATGTTACCATATAAAACTCCACAGAAAACATTTTCTCTTAAAAATTAAAGTGCACACTCATCATGAATTAGTCAGAAAGCAGTTTTTAATACTAATTCAGAAGTCAAACAACAAAAATCAGCGTTATACCGACAAAATTTTTCACAGGACTAGTTTCGATGGTTTTACCGAACCATCATCTTCAGCTGCAAAACCGCAAATGAACAAGATAGGAAATAATGATTAGATAATGATTAGAATAATGATTAGTTTTTAATAGTTTATATACCGGTACATGAACTTTAAGAGAACATTTTGTCCATGTTTAATTGTAAGTTGCTCTTTTAATTACATAATACCTAAAAAAAGAAAGAATCTTTGTATTATAACAGATTATATTTCATATACTATACAAAAAATTATGTACCAAATTTTAGTTTAAATTAAGAAGAAAGTAAAACATTTCTATGAAAATAAAAAGTATTTAATATTTGTCGTGTTGTAGTTAGATACAATTTGCTTTTTTACTGTAATAATCGCATTTTATCTATGTTCGCCGGCCCAAATTTGATGGTGGCGGTGCGAGAAGAGTCTATTATACGGTCATTATTTTATCCATCCCGATGATGATCCAGAGGCTGACGGATAATCGAACTTTTATTGTATTATATTCTTTGCACCCCGATCAAAGCATCCATTACAAATCGTTTACTTTTTTGTCATTTTTACATCCGTATCTTCTCTTTCTCTGTTACTCGGCCCAACCCGCCTTTATCTATGCGTTTCTTTGGTAATCAGTTCCACCTCTTTCCCTCCATGTATACGTGCAAAGCATGCAAACAGAAGAGAGCTTAGATGAAATTGACCTTTTACATTGCATTATTACAGAAATTTTCTTATGTTTACATATATCGCATGCCATTTCCAGTCTGTTCCCGATTAATTTAGTAGTTTATCATTTCCAACTACTATGTTTAATTATGGATGTATTTTTATCGATAAATCGAAAAGCATTTCAGAACTTAAGCATAACATTCTATAATGGCTTCTGCTGCGGAAAAAAATTAATGCGTTTTAGAATTCTTTGTTACTCACTTGCAAAGAAATGAATGTTACTTCAAAATATTATTTCATGGACACGGAACACAATGTAAGCTGAAAATTTAAGAGTTGGTAAGTCTTCAGACTTATAAGTCTGAATACTTTTCAACTTAAGTATTATTTTCAATAAAACGGCAGAACGTTAGGTGATGATAGCAAAACGCTTTTATTTTAGAAAGAAATTACAGAACAACTTTGAAATTTGAGCAAATGAAACCTATGTCTAAATATTTTAACACTTAAGCCCAACAGATGTTATCAATAATCTGTAGCAATATACCGTACATTCCGGCGCATAACGCGAACTTCAGTACGAAAAATTAGATCGAAATTTACGGGTGCGCGTTATACAGCGGAGATAAAAATGATGGATTTAAAAATTAAAAAAAATGAACATAAAAGATTAGACTTCTATATGTATCTAAATGCTGTTTATTTAAAAGAAATGACCATACCTTAAAAAATTTTTCATTATCGGATAACATGAAAAGTTCGTCATCCTCGTCTTCCGTTATATCTTCAGGCACATCATGGAATTCGGTTTTATCTTCATCATCGTTGTTACTCTGATCCATAACTAAATAATCATCATTATCCGTTCCATCTTTGACCAACACTAAATACCCTTGTACGATTCCCCATACGATTTCCATTTTCTTTCCCAAAATGAATGGCCTTGCATTTGAAACCAGAACTGTGTTTATTTATTTTCACGGGGGCCGTATTTACTACTAAAGGAACACTAAATTAACTGCATTTAAATCAAAAGCAAATGTGATTTACTAAAGCTTTCGATTTTCACTTCAAAATCACAGTTTCAAGTTACTACAGAAAGAGAAAACATCTAACCTGTAATTTCACGAATTCATTCAGATTGGAAGTGCATTCTTACACCAAATGATATCCATCTTTTCTTGAAACCCTACTATAACATTCTTTAGGATATTGCACTGAATACAATCCATCCCCTTTACAGGAATATTTACTCCCTCGAGCATGTAATCCACATAACTATTGTTCCCTTATGGCTTGTTAGTTCGGTATACCATTGTTTGACAGACTAGAACAAATCTTCGAATAAGTGACTTCAAAAGATAAGAACATAACACATGTATCTTTTACGTTTCTTCGTGAAGAAGTGGGTGCGCGTTATACGGCGAACGTATTTAAAAATTTTAAAATGTAGCTTGAAATTATAGATGCGCGTTATACGCCGGAAATACACTATTTATGAAGATGAATGCAAAGCGCTTGAGTGGAATATTTTTTTTTCGTTAAACAAGGAATATCTACATCTTTCAAGTGGAAACATCTATTAAAGAAATTTCGAGATTTATTTTTATTGAAATTAACGAAGCATGATTTTTATTAACAAATTGTTTTAAATTTTATGGATGAAAATGTGCACTCTGACATTAATATTGTTTTCTTTTCTAGATCGTCGGAATGATGTTATCATGCGCATTGTTCCTTATGATAAATTGAAGAGTAAACAATCATCCTTCTTCGTTAAAGGCAAAGAAACCATCGCTATTTGTGGAAGATTTAAAGACGAGTTCGAAGATGTACGCGCAGCTGGTTGATATCTGTTTCGGAGATTGAACATTTTTCGAATAGATTACATTACACCTATTGAGTGTTTCTTTGCTCGCATTTTATTCCCACAAAAATTGAGATGTTTTTTTCTCGTTCATTCATGTAAATAAGAAATTATGTTTTTAAATGGACCTGTTGATTGAAATGTTTTTGTTTGCAGCTCTGGCCCTGAAAATAATATAAAAAGAGAGGAACTGCGATAATTTATTTTTGAAATACAAATGATTTGTTTTGTTTCTAGAATTCTGTTTTTGTATGAGTGAGTATCTGTTATGTCCGCATTTTAAAAATGTTCACTTAAAATAACTGGACATCAACACTCTGGCTTATTGTCTCATCGAGGCTGCATCAACGTCATTAATGAGAGTTCCATACTGATTTTCTTCGTCTTGTAGAAATTAATGGAAGAATTTATTTGTTTTTCGAAAATTTCCAAGCTTTTTTAAAAGGACAAGAGATATGGAAATTATTCTTAACAAGAATATCATGATTTCCTTCTATATTGTTTCATTTGTATGATAATATGTTGTACTAAATGTTGTATTTATTGAATAAAATCATTACATAATAAAAGTCTAATTTCATTTCAAGAAAAATTGCTTTTTTCTTCGGATTACAATTAATTGGATATTATTTTCATTCTTTCTATTTCAGACGTATATTTAAAGAAGAATCAGCAGTTGTATAGGACATCGAATTAGACCGAACACTTTTAGATGGCTCTTATAATGACGTTACACCTCAATGAATTTGTAAGGTATTTCTCTCACCTTCTTAGCATGCCTTCGTGGTGTAGTGGTCAGCTAGCTCGGTACGTATTCGAGAGGTCCATGGTTCGAATCCCGGCTAGGGCATTGCTCATTTTTTATCTCTCATGCTTTCGAAATAATCTAATGTCTTTACAAGCTAAGATGATGGCCTTTCACCTTTGATATTTTTCGTCCTTAAAGCGTGCGAGTTTTAGGGGTAGAAAAGTTTTTGTAATTCTATTGTGTCCATAAAGGCGTATGTTCTGTTCAAATTTTTTAATATTTAATGCAATTAGGAAATCTACACTCGAAGCAAAGCTGAAACAATGATCTCTTTACAAGCGAGACAATAGCATTAATGCTGAGTCATCAAATATGATTAGTTTTCTACTCAAATTTTACGTAACTCAAAAAGTTAAACATTATTAGCCTGAAGAGACTCTACAAACGGTAAGAAAATTAGCTATTATGTTGTATTATGAAGTAAAATACTTTTCACTGGCTGAGTTAAAAATGCTTCTTTTATTCTAAGATAACGTAGTATGTACTGCAAATCTCATGTTTTATTAGATGATTGGAAACAAATGTCACTTTCTGAAAATAATTCCTTTTTTTCGTTTCAATTCATTTATAATTTTCTCCAAGCAGCGACAACCGTTTAGAAGTATATAATTTTGAAGCATCTTTTGGAACAGAGTTTCGAATCAATGATACGCAACGAAAAAATTTAGACGCCGCATTATCTGAGGAATTTAGGTACGCACTATCAGAAACGTTAGTAGATGGCTGGTCTTGCGAGCAGCCATCGTGGTTAGCTCTGCCCTTTCTGTCTGAGCGGGAGTGAACGTGGGAGGACGATGGAAGGGGTGCGAAGCTAATTTTTTTAGCTAGTTCTCGTGCTATCGAGCAGTGGGAAGGATGCTAAATTAGCTACCTTATATGCATAGTTTTTGTTTCGTTTATAAACTAATTTCGTTAACACAACAGCTTGCTGAAGTTTGTGTCAGTTATAGCTGTAAAGTCATTAGTTTATTTTAAGTAGGAGACGTGAAAAATTTGCAATGTCCTCGCCGGGCTCGAACCTGGACCTCCCTCGATTACGCGCCGAGTGTGCTACTGTTACACCACAAAGGCATGCAGAAAGAAGGGAGAAAATAACCTTATATACTCCCCCTTCTCTAGTTGTCAAAAAAGCGAACCAGAAAAAAAGGAATTTATTGCATGTACAATTAAAGAGAAATAAACAGTCAACATTAGCAAGGACTGTCATATCAGTGCCCCAAGGGTTTCGGCTGCAAACATCATTGCTGGACATAGTAAATCTTTTGACGAGGTAGAATTTTTTAAAAGAAGCCTGGTTAGCATGCTCCACCATAACTTTCCGAAAATTTTGAAAATAAAGAGGAAATAATTCAGAGCATTAAAGATACTGTTTTATTGTAACTAAATATGCTCGTTTAGCAACTTTTACTCGATACTGTGTCGTAAACAACGTCAGGGAAGAATTAACTGCAATAACATCGTTGTAAACAACTGCTATGGGCACAGATATATGTACGGCTGTAATCAATTCATTTGCTGAGAAAAAAATAGATTTAAGTGAAATTGTTTCGTTAACGTTGATACTGTTCCCAGTGTGGTTGGCAAAAATAATAATTTTATCACTTTACTTCAAACGTATAATGAGCATTCGATTTTTGATTTCCTCTATGTCTTATGTCAACAAGCTTTGTGTGCAAGGGAGAGTTTCTCCTTCCCTGTTAATGTTATGGCCGTAGTCACAGAATTAGTGAGCCTTATATTGCCACAGTCTTTAAACAAACGAAAAACGCTTTGGATGAAGTGAATCTGATGTGCAAAGGGTTATTAAAAATGTTTTCTGGTGGAGCTGCGGTAACGTACTTCAAAGATTTATTGACTGCTTGAATCAGACATTGAAGAAATCAGACTGATTTCACAAAATGAACAAAATAATTGAACAATATTCACAATTCATGAGTATTACGTGGCTTGCAAAATTAGTGTTTGTTACGAACATGTGCCAGTATTTAAATGATTTGAACATAAAGCTTCAAGGGTCAAGCAAATGAGTAACCGTTATGATGGATGTCATTCCGGTTTTTGAAGCTTGTTAAAAATAATATTCTAAAGCAGTTAAAATGACATAGAAAATCCAGTCAATGTGTAACTGAATTACAACTTTAGGCTAAATTGCAGAATAGGCTGTATCAGTCGATGCTGTGTTTACATCTCTTACGCTTGGACACGCCTTTTTATGACGTACTATTGGTTACGCCTCTTCTTAAAAACAAGTTATAAGTATGCTATAGCTTCGTATTTAAAGAAAACTTAAATCATATTTTAACTGAGTTGAAATGGTAAGTTTATAATGTTCTGCGCGAGATTTTTTAAATTATAAATCTACTTTTGCGTGTTGTGTGGTAGTGTTAGCATTTAACGCAACGAATTATCTCTCACAAATGTATTATTTGGATACCAAACGATTGAAAACGATCATTACCAAACCACTGAAATTATTGAATGCACGAGTTAAAAATTATAACCGTAACTTCTGAAAATACAGAAGAGAATTCTTTTGCTTAAAGAATGTTTTGATTATTGATGAGTGTGTCAAAATCGGTGCTTACTGCAGAATGGATGAGTATCTAAATCTGGATTTTTTTTAACAGTTGGAGCGAAGAGGTAAAAAGAACCTTATTGAGTGGTGTATGGAGAAAAGTTTGCAATATCGTATAAGTGCCCAATTTGTGGAATAGATATGAAACCAGTACAGCGAAAAAACCGTATAGACGGTTTTGAGTGGTGCGCAACCCCAAAATTGTGCGCGATGCCGAGTTTGCGCAACTCTGGAATGTTTTTTTAAGTGAAAATAGATCGATGTGCACATGGGCAAAGCCAATGTTGTGCGCAAAGCCGAGGTTGTGTGTGATGCCGAGTTCGTGCAATCCTGGGATGTTTTTTTAATTGAAAATAGATCGATGTGCACATGGGCAAAGCCAACGTGGTGCGCAATGCCGAGTTTGTGCAACTCTGGGATGTTTTTTAAGTGAAAACAGATCGATGTGCACATGGGCAAAGCCAATGTGGTGCGCAATGCCGAGGTTATGCGCGATGCCGAGTTTGTGCAAATCTGGGATGTTTTTTTAAGTGAAAATAGAACGATGTGCACATGGGCAAAGCCAATGTGGCGCGCAATGCCGAGGTTGTGCGCGATGCCGAGTTTGTGCAATCCTGGTATGTTTTTTAATTGAAAATAGATCGATGTGCACATGGGCAAAGCCAACGTGGTGCGCAATGCCGAGTTTGTGCAACTCTGGGATGTTTTTTTAAGTGAAAACAGATCGATGTGCACATGGGCAAAGCCAATGTGGTGCGCAATGCCGAGGTTGTGCGCGATGCCGAGTTTGTGCAACTCTGGGATGTTTTTTTAAGTGAAAACAGATCGATGTGCACATGGGCAAAGCCAATGTCAATGTGGTGCGCTATGCCGAGGTTCCGCGCGATGCCGAGTTTGTGCAATTCTGGGATGTTTTTTTTAAGTGAAAATAGATCGATGTGCACATGGTCAAAGCCAATGTGGTGAGTGCGCAATGCCGAGGTTGTGCTCGATGCCGAGTTTGTGCAACTCTGGGATGTTTTTTTAAGTGAAAACAGATCGATGTGCACATGGGCAAAGCCAATGTGGTGCGCTATGCCGAGGTTCCGCGCGATGCCGAGGTTCCGCTCGATGCCGAGTTTGTGCAATTCTGGGATGTTTTTTTAAGTGAAAACAGATCGATGTGGACATGGGCAAAGCCAATGTGGTGCGCAATGCCGAGGTTGTGCGCGATGCCGAGTTTGTGCAAATCTGGGATGTTTTTTTAAGTGAAAACAGATCGATGTGCACATGGGCAAAGCCAATGTGGTACGCTATGCCGAGGTTCTGTGCGATGCCGAGTTTGTGCAATTCTGGGATGTTTTTTTAAGTGAAAATAGAACGATGTGCACATGGGCAAAGCCAATGTGGCGCGCAATGCCGAGGTTGTGCGCGATGCCGAGTTTGTGCAATCCTGGAATGTTTTTTTAATTGAAAATAGATCGATGTGCACATGGGCAGAGCACTACAGATCAGGCTTCCGGCCTCAGGTATAACCAATTGGAATAGTGCCTGACCTGTAGAAATTATCTACTATCTACTTCCGCCACTGCCAGGGCGAGCCCCGCAAACCAGCGGCATTTATTGAGTCTAAGTCAAAAGTTACCGATTCACACTGAGTATTATTCATAGGCGCGTGTAATTACAATTGCTCTGATTGTGTAATGTTCCATCGGCAGTAACGGGTTAAGAGCACTGCATGAAATTTAGTACATTGAGTTAGTAAGGTGTCCGGACTTCACTACAAATCGTTATTGGTGAACTTGGCTTAATCTATGCTGCGTATCTGTCCGTGTCACATACTAAAGACATACTGTACATACATACATACATAGCATGATGATATACATAGCATGAAGATTACATACATAGCATGAAGATTATACATAGCACTAAAAATTACACATAGCATTAAAAAAATATATACATAGCATCAAACATTATTACTGTTTTGCTCAATGAACAAATTATATAACTTACTATCCGCACAAATATTGTACTCATTAGTAGCTGTGCACACAGAATATTATAAACATTAAATAGGTCCTAGCAGCCACACGTTATTTACATATTACATAATATATGCGTTTCATAATATGCGCTTACATAATATATAGGATTATAAGATAAATAATTAAATACTCGAATGCAGAACATTGCAAATTTGA